TTAAAAAGAACATGAGGTTAAAATTTTTGACTAAGGTATTAACAACACTTACTTTAGTCAAAATTTCAACCTCATGTTCTTTTTAATTAAGTGGTTATATTTTCTAGGACACTGATGATGGAATATGGATTCCGAAAACGTTTTGATTAATTAGCCCGTTAGGGTTTTTACATATATACCTTTTATAAAGGTTTTTTAATAAATTTTTTTTAATATATGGTATACAGCCAACTACAGGAACGTAGATTCCTTTTGGATTTTCAAAGTTACAATATTTACGAACCGTAACCAGGAGCTATCCTTTTTTACTAAGCAGGATAAGATGTGTTTTTGTGTTAATTCAAATAGTGTTATAGAAAAATTAGGATTTACACATAACCCAGAAGAATGGAGTTTGTTTATAGATTCTTCTAAATTAAGTCTAAAAGCAGTTCTGCTCCATAACGGCAACAAAAAACCATCTGTTTCTCTTGCTCATGCAGTTGATATGAAAGGAACACACGAAATTATGTCGCTGATCCTAAATGCAGTAAGCTATGATACATATAAGTGGCAAATATGTGGTGACTTAAAAGTCATCGGATTATTACTGCGTCTTCAGGGAAGATTTACAAAATTTTGCTGTTTTCTTTGCCTTTGGGACAGTAGAGCAACACAGAACCATTACGAAGTTAAAGCATGGTTACCAAGAGATCATTACATTCCAGGTTAAGCTAACGTATAATTATTATAGAGGTTATAATATAGAGGTTAATATAGCTATGGGATGTTGGCACCTCATTGATCGAATTTCGTAAAAATAATTATACCGTCTGAATGGTCACGTTTTAGTCAGAAATGGTCAGTTGGTTTCAGCTTTTGAAAAAATTAATTAGAACTGACCAATTTCTGGATATATCTGACCATTGGAGATTAATTTGTGATCTTTCAGGTGGTATAATTATATTTCAGAAATACTAGCTGTAACATAGTGATTTAGGAAAACGCGGGAACCTACTGTTCTCCTAGTATTTTTAAAATGTTTATTGCGGCGAGGCACTGCAATGCTGGTATTTTTAAAATTTTTAATGGACTGCACTTGCGTGCTAAGGTGATTGCAACTTTATTAATTATTTTCACCCCTAAAATTATTTTTTTTCATTATTTTTTTGTCCTTGAAAATTTTCAACCCTTAATAAAAAATTAACCAAACCTGACCAAAAGCTGAAACCAACTGACCATTTGTGACCAAAACGTGACCATTCAGACGGTATAATTATTTTTACGAAATTCGGTCAATGAGGTGCCAACATCCCATAGCTGGTTAATATATCTCTTGTTGACCACAAAAACGTTCTGTTACCTCCGTTACATATTAAACTGGGATTGATTAAAAGTTTCGTTAAAGCATTAGATAAAGATTTGATGAAAAATTAGGCAATGTTGAGTTAGCTGCATCGATTTCTTTCAAAAGAATTGTTTTCGAGATTTTTGGAAACGAAAAACCAGAAACTTACCAAAATATTGTAGAAGAACTACTTAAACATTACTGCAAAATGGGCTGTCACATGTCTCTAAAAATACACTTGACTAGAAAGCGATACAGAGAGATACACAAGATTTCTTGAGAGAAAGAAAGTGGTACAGAGTATAAAAGTAAATCAGCATTTGCAAAGAATTTGTATGTAAAGGATTTACCAAAGTTTTTGTTTCTAGTTCTCGACTTATCTATATATAGTATATAAGAATTTTTATAGTAAATAACATTATTGGTTGCATTCTATTACTCAAAATATAACGTGATGAGAAATTTTGGTGTTTGAGTTCGCAATTAGGATGCTTTAAACCCCTTTAAACTTATTTTTTTAATTTGTTGACTAGTGTTTTCGGATGTTTTAGTTTCATGTATCCAACGATATTTTAATGGTGTCACTAACTAGTTTTAGAAGCCTCTAGGTTGTGCACTGTTTAACATCTCATTTATTTCTGTACACAAGTACTAAGATGCTGCTTTCATATTTCTAATAATAAAAGTTATTACTACTTTCTGTAAAGATTTAGCACCTGATAATTGGTCCACGCGTCTCCAACACCTCGTACGTTCAACCAAAATAAAATTCAACTTCTCTAATAATCACCGCTTAATATTAGACCGTCTTTATGCAATCAACATAAATTCTTCTCGTCGGTTTTTCAGTAGGCGTTCTGAAACTAGTTTGGGACTTTGTGGTCGCGTTTGTACATCAGTTACAAACAACTTTAGAAAAAAATTGTAACTATAAACTTTCTACATGATAATAAAGTGAGCTTCAATATTCATGTTTACTTTAAATAATAAATTAGACGTTTCGGTCGTAAGCAGCGGTACCGCTATTGTATGGTTGTTAGAAAATCGTAAATTTTATTATGGAAAATACTAAACATCATAATGAATTTTATTGGTTAAGTGGAAATATATACATACTACATTGAAAACGAGGAAGCGGAGCTGAATACAGTAAATTACTAACAAATACCTCGATGGACTAAAAGTTTGAATTACTTCACAAAACAAAAGCAATGTCGTAAAACCGATAAATGAACATCTACAGAGTGAGTTTTCAGGATGGAATTCGTCAATTATCAAAACGGCTTCCAATATTTCGTGGGCTTAAAGCTAAAACTGACCAAGTCTAAAATATCAATTTTCAGTAAATGCACTTTTAAGCGGACTCGAAATTAATAAATTATAATTACCAAAAATATGTTTGTTTAATACAAGTTTAATTTATATTATTATTTGTTTTATAATTTGATCTTTTAATTTAACCGTTAAATAAAATAAAAAAATAGCCATTGTTCTTTTCTTTTGTCAAAAAAAGTGACTTAATCATTTTATACTGATTTTTGAAATCTTTAAATCGTATTTGGTCAAACAATAAAATTACTAATTATTAGTGCCAACAAGGACCAGGTGCTTAAAACATCTTTAATTATTTAGTTATGGGGGATCTGTAAATCAGACAAATACTTTTGTTACAAAAACTGTATTAATCATAAATAAGCTGGGGCGACAGAGTTAGAAATGAGGAGGTCCCTAGACGGCTGAGCCAAACAACACAACTGGTCAATATAATAAAGAAACGCAAGCTGGAATACTTCGGTCACATTATGAGACACCCTGAAAAATATCTTTTACATCTGATCATTCAGGGAAAGATCCAAGGTAATCGTGGTCCTGGTAGACGAAGAACAACATGGCTGAAAAATCTAAGGCAATGGTATGGAAAATCAACTACATCGTTATTTAGAGCTGTTGTCAATAAAGTCACGATAGCGAATATGGTAGCCAACATGATATCCAACGATCGATAACGGTCATGGAACTAGAAAAAGAAGAATCATAAAGAAGACTTTCAAAGAACAAAAAATTAATAAATAACATGAACCGCTTAATCCGAGTTTGATTCTATGTCACTTTCACCTACTGTGGGTTCCGGGACGGCATTTTCCTTTTTGTTGCCAACTGGTAGGGCTTGGTATCAAGCGTGATATTCTGCAGGAACATCGTTTTTAGTGCAAAGCCTCACGAGGCTATTTTTTTCTTCTCGGAAATGCCTAACTGTCCTGTATATAATTTTGGTATATTCTTCGGAATTTCTTGTAGTCGTCCTCTTCCAGAAGCATTAATCCTTTTAAATGCTATTTGTCTATAGTTATATTTAAAGAGAATTCTTTCCAGATTTTTCTTCTCATAACGCATAACTTTTATTTTCATCCACGATACCTTATTTCCATCCTCGTCTTTGAATCTGTTCTTCTAAGTCGCTTAGAGCGAGCCAACCGGAACACATTAAGTAGATCATTCATAGTAAAAATAGACTCATAGATTTTTTCTAGCAGACTCTGGCGCTGTGCATTGAGTCTACCTACATGTAGGAGTGTCCTTTTTATAAAAAGTAATGTTGTATGCTTGATAAATGCGTATCTTTTACCAACTATGTATTGATTGCGGTTTTGACCGCTGCAGGTATCTGAATACAAGATTATTTCTGTCACGTCCCTTAAAATTGTTTTTACCCATTCAAATAATGCGGTTCCAATTTGAGAACTCCCTGTTATTTGGTGTCCCTGCTTCGTAGACAGTCAAGTTATATGCACATAATTTCATACTATAATAAAACGGGGGTGTATCGGAGAAAGGAATTTGCAACACGCTTTGTAGATCAAAATTAATACATCATTTAAGGATAGTAACTTATCCTGCATCTTGGCAGCATTTGCTTCATCGCGCCGACGACGTATGTGTTCTTGGTAATCTTCTATGGTTATGAGTTTATTTTTATATTGTGCACAAGTAGAACATTGATCCTTTTTAGGCTTGAAAAAAGCAAAATTATATTTACTACAAAAAATGCGTCGATACCTCACTTCAGACACCTTTGCTTCGATCTTGCTGTCACATATTTCGGCGTATAAATAATACATTTTTGTGATTGATAATCTAGAATCTAAGTATTTCCGGTTGTTAGATTTCCTACAATAATGGGATTCAAGGGTAGGGAAACTGTCGATATGGTTTTTAATTTTCTCTTCTAGCTCCTGGGGTGTTTTATGGCCTGGTGTTTTACGACCTCGTCGGCCTGGTAAGTTAAATGAACCATGTTCGTTTATTCCAGCAAAGGCATGGTTAACGGGTCCATGACTTATACTTAGAGTTTTCAAATAAAAATTTTTGCAGACACGGACTTCTTGATCATCTTTTTTAAAAATATATAAACCTGGTAGCTAGTTTTGCAGGCCTTGTTTCTGTGCGAGGCTTTAGGTTTAACTGATTTCACACTAGCCAATATGAAGTCTTTATGTCTATCATACTTTTTTAATTGCCAGTAGTTAGCACACAATTTTTTTTTATCTTTCAAACTAGATATGTGTGTACATTGATACTTTAGGAGTTTTCGCCGGCCTCATTTTGTTGTGGATTTGATAAGGTTCGACCAAAGACTTTTTCCTTTTATTTATGCTTTTTGCCATTGATCCGGTCATGATTTTCTCCATCTGGCTTTTTGTCTAGTTGAAATAGTTGTAGTGGTAAGTGCATTGTTGATTTCATCATCCTCTTCGTCACTAGGATTATACTCATCTGAACTGCCTCCTTCAAAATCTATTACGCTTGTTGGTGAGTGCGTATTCTCAAGATTTTTAGTGCGAACAATATGTTGTGTACCCGATGTTGATTGTAGATTATTGGTAACTGGAGTGCTGCAAAGCGCGTTTTTGTTCCTTTTACCAAGAGGTCACATTTTATAACAGTAAGAAAAAAAGTAAAAGTACCTAATTCATGCAAACCATTTAACTAGCACGCTTTTAACGCACTAAAGTATTTTATTTACCTTGCGATTCTGTTAAGGGAGAAGCCGAAATATTATAAGGTGCATCATTATATACTGGCCCTAGAATAAAATAATTTTGCTTCTAGCACTCATTGTAATAAGCTTATTTCAAATAACTATAGACTAAGTATGGCAATGTCATCTGTCAAAACTAAATCCTCGTCTGCCAAAAAGGGACCAAGTCTACTTGGTCAGATTTAAATCCGATGTGATATAACTAACAGTGACTAAGTAGAAATGGTCAATTTGGGCTGACGTTAATTTCTCTTTTTGGAAACTTGGTCATTAAAAACATAATTAAAGGCACCTATTTTCGTGGCGTTGAGGACTTGGTCAGTTTTTGCTTACAAAGATATTTGATTTCTAAGTTGATTGGTCCCAAAAACACAAAATATCAATTTTGGACTTGATCAGTTTTAGCTGATCAAGCCCACTATTTATTTACAGGGTGGTCCTTAAGTAATTGTACAAAAAGAAACCGTAGATTCTGCACTTTAAATACGATTTAAACTTATTACGACGTAAGCCAACTTGCTTTAATAAAATGTTGATATTAAGAAAGTTGCAGGGTGTTGAAGTGGAAATTTAAAATTTTATTTTTCGCTATAACTTTCACGATTTTAAACATTTATAAATAAAAATTTACAATTGGATGCTTTTGAGTAGGAGAAATCATAATTTTATACATACTTCGACGTAGCTGATAGAGGGCGCTGTATATGCCACATATTTGGCATAAATTTGCGCCTAACTTTTCGGATCTTTAAGTTAGCGCTGTTTGTGTTAAAACATATTAAAGATACACTATTGTTATAAAGAAAAGGTATACTTTTCCTAAACGTCGGGTTTAGAGGATTATTTGTACTTAAGTGTTCTTTGTTTGGACTAATCCATGTTAAGAGCCATCTTGAGTGGCCATCTTGAGAGCCATCACTAGATTGTTTTCACTAACAAACTGTACAAAACGTTCTTCTCTGTTGTTTCTAAGTTTCAGTTTTTCCCACCTTGTCGATAAAGTCTCCAATACTATATACCGGCTCATTTTGTGGGATTTTCTTCAAAATGTTTTTTTTTTATGTTGTTATAAACGTCCATTTGGACAACTCGTTTTATTAAAATGTAGTTTTATATCTTATATATTGATTTCTTGGCATAAAGTGCTACCGGAGAAAATTTTATTAGTGAAAAAAGTACTTACATGCAACTTCTACAGTAGCAGGCTGGCTCTTGATACTACCCCTTCCACTCCACGCATAACATTCGCACTTAAATTTCTCTTTACCGAAAAACTCCTCGACCATATCACGAGTAACGTTCGCATCCGCTTCGAAGATTCGCACGCCGGTCTGAGGGTCCACGAACCAATTTTCGACAGTTTCTACTTTTTTAGCTCCATTGCACTTAAAGTATAGACTAAGAGCATGTGCAGCACGACACTGTAGCGTCGCCGGGCGATTTTTGACGACGAAGGCGTTTTGGGGTTCCGCTAGGAAGATTGGGAGATCGGTGTTGAGGAGCAGCGACTCGTCTTGTTCTGGAGTGGGTTTCGGGGTGGATTGTTCTTCGAGAAGGGCACCATCTGAAATAAATAAAGTAAAGTTACTATTTTGGCCGTGTTATTTTTTATTCATATGATTTACGATCTCTTATTAAATAAAGATCATTTGACCTATTGGTATAGTTTGTATTATGTTGGATAACCGCAGCCGCCCGTAAGGACTCCAGAAAAACGTCCAAAATAATCTATATTGTTCAAACGTGTCTTCGATGGGAATAAGAATGTTTTCAATCATACCTAATGCTTGAATTATAGGAAAATTGCCTTTTTTGCTTATTTTAGTTCTTTATTTCGCCTTTGATTTTTGCACAATTGCTCGTAAATTCCGCCTATTTGTGCCTTTTTTTAAGAAATAGTTTTTTTTTTTCCTGAAAAATGGCTTTTTCAGAGCCAATTAGCCAGACTTGTTTGTGTTGATTGTTAAAATCGACTGAATTTTAATTATTATATATTGCAGATTCATAGTCAAAATTTTCTTATCAGTTATCAATGTTATTACTACATATACCTAATATTTTTATAGATACATTAATTTTGTTTTGATATATTTTTATTTTGTTTTTTTATTCTTTTGTTTTCTTGTTTTTTTTGTTTTGGTTTCTCTTTTTTTTGTTTTTTTTTTGTTTAATTTTTTTGTTTTTTGTATTGTTTTTTTCTTTTTTTTTGTTATTTTTTTTGTATTTATCTTTTGTTTTTGTTCTATTTCTATTTTCTTAATTCTTTTTTTTTTATTAATTTGTGGTATACGTTTTTTTGTTTTTTTTTTTCGCAAACCATATTAACAGATTATGACTATATACTATTTACAACTTGTATTTACATATTTTAACATGTTTGTAAATGCAATGAAGAATTTCCATATTATTGGAAAATAGTAAAATATTAAGGTTTATTGGAAAACAACACTTGGAATTTATTAATTCCTTATAAAGTTCGTTTATATTATTCATTTGTAAATCACATTCTAATATAATATGTGTTAGATCGCCTATTTTGCCGCAAGTACAATTGGGAGTATTTGATAAGCCGATTCCATTCATGTAAGATGGCGTAAGAGCATGATTTGCTCTCAGCCGATTAATGGTCTTTATAAAATGTCGATTAGATTCTGTGTAAAACCATCTTCTTGAGGGTATCCTAGTGTTACAATGATAAAAGTTTAAGCCCGTCTTACATTCTCTGTAATGTAAATGCCAATTATTTTTAAGTTTTTGTCTACTAACGGTGTCAATATCTGTCGCTGGAATTAAATTTTTGTTTACTTTTTCTCCAAGCATATATGCTGATTTAGCCAAATTGTCAACGATCTCATTGCCTTTTATTCCCGAATGGCCCTTGATCCATGTAATTATTACATTTAGTCCTAATTGTATAGTTTCAGAAAGAATTTGTAGAATTTTCAGTTCAATGTGGTTTATATGTTTGGCTGTTTGAATGTTGTTGAATCTGTCGACCACACTTTTACTGTCAGTAAATATAACATAGTTGCTAGACGGCTTCAGTACTACATACTGAAGAGCAAACATTATTGCCATCATTTCTGCTGTGTATATTGAGCATTCACTGGGTAAGCTATACTGGTGATGGTAATTTTTATTTTCGTGGAACATTGCACAGCCCGTTCCATTTGCATCTTTTGACCCATCAGTAAAAATGTACTGATAGTTTGTCCATTTTTCTTTAATAATTATATCAAACATATTTGAGAGTAAATGTGAGTTTAAGTAACATATTTTAACCTTTTTAGAAAATAGTGTTTTTGCCATTTCACCGTAGTAGGGCGGAATTTGGCTTGTATAGAGAATATCGTTATATTTAATCGTACTTAGATAGCTTTCTACCAAAGGTATAGATTTTTTAGTTCTTCAGTATCTATGAGTAAGGTCTAAAACTGATAGCTCATTAAGATCTTGCAGGTATTTACAATTTTTGGACATAATTCGGACTGTAAATTTGTCGCTAAGGAATTGGCGGCGTAAATGCAATGGAGGTTCCACCGCTTCAATTTCCATTATTTGGACTGGAGTGGATTTTAAATAACCTAGGCATAATCTCAGGCATTTATTTTTTTGAACTTCAAGTTTGTTTAGATGTGTATTGGTCGCTGATCTAAATAAATGACAGTTATAGTCGAAAATTGGCCTGATCATGTTACGGTAAAACATCAAAGCAATATTTGGGTCTGCTCCCCAATTTGTTTTACAGAATGCTCTTAAAATGTTTAATGAGTTTTCTGATTTTTTAACAATTTGATGAATGTGATCTTTCCATAATAATTTTCTGTCTAGATAGGTACCAAGATACTTAATACAGTTTTTTATAGGAAAATAAATTTTCCCACATTAAGATTGCCTTGTGGAACTCTATGTTTTTGTGAAAAGTAACACACCTCAGTTTTTGTGTCAGAAATTGATAATCCTATTTCTTCATAGTACTGATTTACGATTTCTAATGTGGCTTTCAATTTATCCTCACAGGTACTTAACAATTTTCCTGCTGTATATAAAACAACATCATCAGCATATTGAAGAATTTTTGTATGGTTGGGTATACTAACTTCAAGATCTATGTTGTACAGGATATATAAAATCGGGCTTAAGAAATAGTTAAAAAGCAAAAATATTTCTTTACTGAAAAAAAATTTATGTACATTTTCATGAAAAACAATATTTCAAGCTAATATAAACATTTTGTTGTCAAGTCAGCTAAATGTCCTTTTATAATCGTTGGAAGGCTAATACCACAATCATCACGATTGATTCCATCTCGAACCATGACCAGTGACTCATTAAAAAATGCCAAAACTATAAATCTGTCTGTCAATGGAGCTAATAATAAATGGTTCGAGGAGTGCACACGCAGTTATCTTTTTAATTAGAATATCTTGCTATCATTTCCGCAGTCAATCGATGATGTTTTTATGAATTGTATATCAAGGCTATGTGCATTCTACTTTATTGTCTTTCTTAGACTATAAATCCCGAAACGCAGTCCGTTATTCACCACCGACTACCTCGTTTACGTCATTGGCGTACCTACACATAACCGAGTAGAAGAAATGTTATCGTTGTTGAAGAATGTTAACCTGTTAACTCCATTATTTACCAAAAATGATATTTGAACGGATTCTATATTTATATACCTGACACTATCCCACAAATCCCCTGATCCAATTTAGTTTAGAAATAACTAAATTTTAAGTGAACAATACACTGCTTTCTCCATAACGATATTTTTCATACTACAAAATTGATATTTCCTTCTTAACGTGCCCTATCAAGTCCCCTTGACGTTGGCGATTATTAACATGGCGAAACTGTCTCTGTCTCGAGCTAATCTAAATAGTTGCTCAGCTTTCTTTATTCCTGTCCACTCCCTGATATTCTTCAACCAAGAGGCCTTCTTTCTACCAATTCCTCTGCGTCCTTCGATTTTACCCATCATAATAAGTTGAAGAATATTATATCGGTCTCCCCTTACTACTTGTCCAAAATAGGCCATCTTTCTACATTTGATGTTATCAAGCAGCTCGCGAGCCGCATTTGCTCTCTCAAAGACTGCCACATTTGTCAGCATAGCCGTCCATGGAATTTTGAGTATACGTCTGTGCAGCTACATTTCAAAGGCCTCCAGACGATTAATTGTGGATATTTTTAATGTCCATGCTTCGACACCGTATAAGAGGACTGACCAAATGTAGCATTTAACCATGCGCTTTCGAAGTTGAAGTTGCAAGTTATCATTACAGAAGAATGACCTCATTTTTAAAAATGTCGTGCGGGCTATCTCGATTCTACATTTTATCTCTTGATCTGGATCTAGTTGTTCAGTAATATGGCAACTAAGATATTTAAAACTAGACACTCTTTGAATTATGTGACCATCAACATTATAATCGTGCATCTTGATGTGCTAAACGGCTAAACACCATGTGTTTTATTTTTGCGCAGTTTATGTTTAGGCCAAACTCTCTTCCCACTGTATCAATGGCATTTAAAAGGCATTGTAATCCATTCATGTCATCACTTAAAATAACTGTATCGTCTGCATATCTGATTGTATTTATCAGAATTCCATTAACTTTCACGCCCCACTCCAAATTATGCAGCGCTTCTTTAACTATTCTATCTGAATATAAATTAAAAAACAGTGGGGATAGTAAACAACCCTGCCTGACACATCTTTGTATTTTACATATTTCTGTTGATTTTCCGTTTATGCAAGCTGTCGCTGTTTGACGCCAGTATAACTTTTCTATGAATCGTATGTCTTGACTATCAACTCCTTTATCTTTTAATATTGTAATTAATTTGTGATGCTGTACTCCATCAAAGGCCTTTTCATAGTCAATAAATACAGCAAAGACGTCTTTTCTTTGATCTCGACATTTCTGCAGTAATACATTTAGTGCAAAGAGGGCGTCCCGAGTTCCCAGTCCATTTCTGAAGCCAAATTGTGTTTCATCCTGATCTTCTTCACATTTATCTCTGATTCTACTGTAGATGATGCGTAGAAATATTTTCAAAGTGTGGCTCATAATCATTCTATAATCGCTACAGTTTTTCGGACGTTGTTTTTTGGTAGTGTTATGAATTCGGACTTTAACCAATCTTCAGGGATATCACCAGTCGAATAAACATCATTGAAAAGTTTGACCAGTATTCCAATGTTTTCCTCATTTATAAGCTTTAACATCTCTGTCGGTACGTTATCAGGGCTAACGGCTTTCTTGTTCTTTGCTAACTTTATAGCATGCAGTATTTCTAATTTTCCAGTGATATTTCCAGTGTAACTAATACTCCAGTTACTGAGGCTTAAAATATGGTAATACCTCCGAATTTTTTATAACTACATCGATTTCTTTGAAAATTTCAAATAAAGCTTATCTTACCCTCCACTTCAAAAGTTATATGCACTCTAGGTGCGCTTTTTGTTTTAAGTGATAAAAACTACCCCTTATTGAAAAAACTGGGAAAAACACGGATTTAATTATTTTATGCACTTAAATCTTGTTTATTCGCATAAGGTAAATATTGTAATGTGTTTTCTAATATGCAAATTAATTATTCACAATTTTCAACCCTTAAAACTTAATACTTTTTATAAAAATAATATGTATTTAAATAAAAATAAAAATTAATACACAAGCTATCCAATATTTTATTTATTGGAAATTTTCAACCCTTACAACCACCCTTATGACAAAAATGAATTAAAAATTAATTAAAAAATATTTTTTATCGGTTTGAAACATTTCTTGAGTGCATTTTGTTTAACGAAAATTATTTTTTTGCATATAAAATAACTTTTTATTATAATTTCAACATTTCAACCCTCACAACCACCCCTTTTGTCAAAAATGAATTAAAAAATATTTTTAACGATTTGAAACATTTTTAGAGTGCATTGTTTGTAGACAAAAATCCTTCATGTTTAAAGGGTGAAGGGTCAAAGGGTCGGAGACCAGTGTTTCATGCGCTATAGAGGACACTTCAACCATCTATATCTCCGTTATTTTTTAAGCTACAAAAAAAATTGAAAAATGAAATTTTTTGTTGAAAAAAAACCTATTTGTTTGTATTGTGTCATCATTTACGTATCTTTTATAGTTTTGAAGTTATTATAAAAAAAAGATTTTTTTAATATTTACAAAAAAAATGTAATCACACTTTTTTCAAAAACTGGGCAATCTAAAATCGCTAAACTTTTGGACTATACAAAAAACACTAAAATAAAGTGAATTCTATAAGGAAACAATTTATTTCAATCCTAATGAACATGACGTTAGTTTTATTGCGTTTTTATTACAAAAATTTGAGAAACCCATCGTTTTTTTGATCGTATCTCACGTACAGGTGGTGCAAAGGACTTTTACCACCACTTATTTTAAAGGTATTTTCAAGCTCTTTTTGCAATGCAAGATGCAATGCAATTTTCTTCATTTTTTTTTGGCTAGTAAGAATATCGTAAAAACCACCCCCATATCTCTGCCGACTCTAAGCGGCCTCATTTATTTTGTGTTTTCTCCCACACTGTCTATCGTATTGTGTTACAAAATATTATACGTAACATATATGAGGGGCATAAGCAACGATGATTATCAAACATTCAAAAACATCACGAACGTTCAAAAGTAGACGTCACCAACCAAGGTTATACAATTTATCAACTTTTTGCTATACTAATATTAAGTAAAAGCATACATTTTCACATTACAAGGAATAAAGATATTAGTTTTCTAAACATCGACTGTCTGTGCCGCCTATGAATAATAATTCTGCTCCGACTACTTCTTCAAATCGCTCTCCGGCTACCAGCTTCTGTAGAATTGAAGCCCTCCAGTAATAAACTCGAGTTGTTCGCAATCGTGACTAATAATATCTCCGATTGTTCTATTATAACGCATCTCCAGGCGAAAGCTTCCGAAAAATGCGCAGAAAAAGTGGAAATGAACAACGGTATTGTTACAACGTTTGTCGAGAGGTGTAGCGTGGCAGGAGTAATAGGCAGGAAGAGGTGACCACGGGGCAAAAGCGTATTCTAACTGTTCGCTACTTACTTGGGCTGTTTTCCATTTGATTGACGTTTGAAAAAGCAGACATGTTAGTGTTTGCTATGGCCAGAGTACAGTAATGCTAATTAAACGCGCTATTGTTTGCTGGCTATTTGTTTGCAGTTACCAATAAGAAGACGAAGTGTGACAGATTTAATTTATGACTGTTTGTTTTCAAAATTAATTTTCTACCTTTAAGAATTGAGAAAATTACTTTGTAAAATTTTATATGCATTTGATAGACAGACAGCCAGCCACTAACACTTTGTAAAAACATTTATTTATACTACTTTAGCTAATATTATGCCAAAAAATAGTACCGATTTTAAATACCTATAAAATTTTACAAGCAACAGTGGATGAACAATGAGATTTTGAATCTAAAGCCGCGTTTTCACGATGACAATTGGCAAGACAATTGTCAGAAGACAACTTATTGGTATAAAATTATTGTCTTCGTCTAAACACTTCAGGCCTGTCTTGCCAACTGCCTTCACAATTGGTCCAAAATTCAGCTGTCTCCGGAAGTAGACTGAGGACAATGAGCTGCGCCCAGTGAGCCCCCACCGCTCGAAATCTCAATTGTCGCGACAATTAGCGCCGTGTGAACGGTGTTCTCTGGTGTCAGTCAAAACATACACGTGGTTTGTGTTATTTGTAGCTGTCTACTGGCATGGCAATAGTTGGCCCCGTATAAACATCTTCTCGTTCAACTGGACTGGCCGCCGACAATCCGCAAGCACGTGATGACAATTGTCCAATGACAATTGTCTCGCCAATTGTCATTGTGAAAACGCGGCTTAACGGAAAAAAGAAGCAAGTTTAAGAATCAAGCTGCAAAAACATATACTTTGAAAACAATTTTAGGGAAAACATGATGCATTTAATATTTATAAAAAAATAAGAGAAGCAAGGGATCAGTACAAAAAACATACAAATAACATCGTTTATAGAGACGACAAACTGATTATCACTGATTTGGATAAACTAGACACACGAGAAGGTCATATTAAGGAACTTGATGAAAGGCCCAATCTTGAAAATAAAGACGTAGTGGCATGACCAAACATAACTATGGACGAAATTAAACGAGCAATCAGATTAGCAAAGACCAGAAAGCGTCAGAACCGGATGATATAACGAGTGAAATAATAAAGCTTTTCGAAAGTTCAGTAAAAGATCTCCTTCATATTGTAAAAAAGTTGATAATACTGGTAATATACCAACAAATTTACTGTTGTCGACAGTATAAAAGAGGGTAATATGTAATAAGGTTCTTTTTATCGTCTGCAGAAATCTCTTGGGTTTATTTATGGGGATAATTTCTGGAATGTTTTATGGAATATGTGGAATACCAAGCAAGAGAACAAGCGGGATTCAGAATGGGTTTTAGTACTAGCGACCATCTGCTAACAGTACAAATACTGATTGAAAAGTCGAACGAGTATCAAATCCCATTATATATGGCATTAATAGACTTCCGAAAGGCGTTTGACAGCATAGAACATTGGGCCATCAAAAACTCACTACAGAACGGCAGAATTGATTACAGGTACACGGACCTAATAACAAACATATACAAAAATGCGAGTACCACAATATAATTGACGAACGAACACGCTACAGAACCAATAAAATTCGAAAGAGGAATCAGGCAGGGACACACTATATCACTAAAATTGTTCAATCAGGCTATGGAATACATATTTAAAGAATTAGAATGGAATACATACGAAATAAGAATAAATGGAGAGCTCTTGAACCACTTGAGATATGCAGACGATATAGTCCTGATAACAGATAAGAAGGAAGAGTTACAGAAGATGGTTGAGGAACTAGATAGAAAAGCGACAGCGGTAGGTCTAGAGATGAACTATAGTAAAACCAAGACTATGACAAATCAAGAAGACCAATTAGAAATAGTAGTTAAACAGAATAAATTAGAGCAGGTGGCAGAATACATATACCTAGGACAGATAATAAAGCTGAACAGGGACAATCAAACAGAAGAAATAAAAAGAAGAACTAGACTAGCATGGGCCTCATTTGGTAAACTATCATATATTCTAAAAAATAAAAAGTTCACTCAATATATGCGAACAAAAGTATTCAATCAGTGCATTTTACCAGTTATCACATATGGCTCACAAACATGGACTTTCACAAAGGAGAACATCGACAGGATATCCAAAACACAAAGAGCAATGGAAAGACAGATGCTGGGTATCGGTCTTAAAGACAGGAAAAGAAACTCATGGATCAGAGAAAAAACAAAGGTGAACGATGTATCAAGACAGGTTGCAAAACTTAAATGGAACTTCGCCGGTCACACTCTCCGGCAAAAAGATGAAAGATGGAATAAGCGAATTCTACACTGGAGACCATGGGAAAAGAAAAGAAAAAGAGGAAGACCACAGATGAGATGGACTGACGACCTTAAGAGAACGGCAGGAAAGGACTGGATGCAGATCGCCCAAAATAGAGACCAATGGAGATTACAGGGGAGGCCTATGCCCAAGAGTGGGCGTTTAAGGCTGATTAGATAGATAGATATGGAATAACTGCAGCTATCTGTAAGACCTACCCATATGCTCTAGAGGCAGCAACAGGACCTACCCACATAATCTGGAGGCAACATTGTAACAGGAGCAAGCGACCAAATATATTCCATAAGTATCAGTTCTCGATTTATTTATTGTAAAGCTTTAGGCAGGATTGTTTTTGCTTTGATTTATTTTGAAGAAATAAGATTAGTTCAATCATTGTTTTATTTGTTACCAGCTACATTTTCATTGTTTAATTCATCGGATGACGGATTCACACTTGAGAGACTGAGCTAGGCATGGTATAGACGATAAGTTTCCATGGTTGATTGAGGTATTATTTTATAATAGTACTTCAATTCTCTTTGGTAGTCTTATCGTTACAATTTTGCAAGTATAAATTAGACTGAGGATGAAATTTATTACCAAATTGAACCTTCTTTCTATTTCGCACCAAATCTAACGTTTAATCTCATTCTTCGTATTTGCTACCCCCTTTGTTAGGTTTACTAACTCGTCGATACATTCCTTCCTCAGTTTCACTTCTTTCTAAATTTATTTTAGTTGTATTCTTATTTCCTCGAGCTCTTATGTCTTTGTCTCCATGCGTTTTTCTTTTCTTTCTTCTATTTATATTAGTCGCCCATTCACTCTCATCATTACTATTTACCATTTCCTATCCACCGCCATTCTCTGATAGGTCATTGTCGACTAACAAATAGACTAAATCATTGAAAATAGTAGATTACAAATTTTATGAGTTATAAAACGACACCTCTGTACATAGTATCTAATTGATGCAGCTTAAAGACTCCAAGAGAAGGATTTAATCGATAGTAAGGCAGTGTGATCAATTCTCTGAAAGTAGTAATAAATTTTCTTCTTCGCGTGCCATATCAGAATTATCCTGCGTTGGCGCTCACCATTGCGAAGGCTTCTCGATATTCTGCATTATCCTACAATTGTCCTACATTTGATATCTGATACCATTCAAGAATGTTTTTTAACCAAGAAACTTGTTTTCTTCCTACACCTCTACGGCCCTCTATTTTGCCTTTAATTATCAGTTGTATTATTTTATATCGACTTCCCCTTACTATATGTTCCCTTACTATATAGACATTTTTCGATGTTTAACAGTAGTTCTCTATCTCTGTGCACTCCTTAGTACTTCTTCATTAGTTTTTCTTGCTGTCCAAGGTATCTTCAGCATTCGTCTATAAACCCACATTTCCAATGCTTCAGTTTTGTTCATGATCGATATTTTTAGCGTCCACACTTCTGCACTATGCAAAAGTACGGACTAAACATAGTACTTAACCATTCTTTGTCTTAGTTTAAAACTGAGATGATTATTGCAAAGAAATGACTTCATTTTCATAAAAGTAGTTTTAGTCATTGCTATTCTACGTTTTATTTCTATGTCTGGATCAAGTTGGTCCGTTATCACAGTTCCCAAATATGTCATTTTGTAAATTTTCTCAACTTGGACTCCGTTCAATTGAAACTTTGCATCGGGATGTGGGTCACGACTAAACACCAAAAATTTGGTTTTGTTTCGAGTTTATTTTAATGTCCATTTCCTCTCCTACCTCGGAGACCTTCAATATTATCTAATAGAATTACTGTATCGTCTATATATCTAATCACATTAGGTAGTTCCCCGTTTATTTTTATTCCATATGGTTGTCTCTCAACTGCCTTTTTAAATAATTGGTCCGAGTAAACATTGAACAATGTTGGCGACAAAATGCAACCTTGTCTTACTCCTCGTTGTATGGAGATTCATCGGTGTAGTTATCTCCAGTTTTTACGATAGAAGTTATACATATTTTCTTTGGTCACGGCATTTTTGTAATAGAATGTTAAGCGCGAAAAGTGCCTCTCTGGTTCTCATAGCATTTCTAAAACCAAATTGGGTATCTTCGAGATCTTCTTCTCGTTTGCGTCTAATTCTGTTGTGAAGTATTCTGAGAAAAATTTTAAGAGTGTGGCTCGTTAGGCTAATTAATCGATATTTTGAGCATTTTCTCGCACTGTGTTTTTTAGGTATTGCGACAAAGATGGATTTGAGCAAATCTGTGGGAATCACTCCGGTGTTATATTGAATTAAAAAGTATTACTACTACTTTTATGTTATCATCCTCTATTAGTATCAGCAACTCAGTTGTATCAGGAGTATCATCTGGATCTAAAGTAAAAAATATTACTAACTAAATGACATATTTACGAGATATGCTGCAAATGCCATAATTCCAACTGAAAGAATGTCGTTTGCTAAAAACTAAATACTACTGTTTTATTCAAGCTTTACGAGACTTTCCGTGTCGAATCACATTATTCTCAAGCTTGTTTTTTATCTTTTTGCAATCAGTATAATAAAAATCCCTTGTCTTACATAAAAGGCGAAAAAGACACATCCATTCATCATCTTTTTAAAAATCAAAACGCAATTCTCTCTTACAAAGTAGTATTTCTCGAGAAGCCCGCGAGTAAAAAACAATTT